AATCAGTTCTTCTTAAAGAAATGTATCTGAGCGTTTAAAAATAATTTAAGAAACATTCTCTCTCAGAAAACTTATCAAGAGTATAAAGAATTACAAAAAAGGGTTCAAATCGAAGCAAGAGACTAAGAAGAAACGTGAACCTAGCACGTGTCCAAAAATTAGTTCGTGTCTAATAATCAGCGCAGAGAGTGTTAGCGTCAGTTTTTTGATATTGAATGAAACTGAGGAGACTAAGAAGTGGTGAACCTGGTACATACTATGACTTTGTATCTAACAAACAGCAAAGAAGCTGTTTAGCATCAATTCTTTAAGGTTGAATGATAAAATTTTGGAAGTAGATAACCTTCAAACTGATAACACAATAAACTAAAATTATTATTTCTACCTTTTAGATTAAACAAAAAGGTAACAGCTGAAGTAGAGGGGTATTTGATAGACCTTTTGGATAATCTCTATAGATATAACATTCATAAAATAGAAGATCATTGTGATGTGCGTATTGAAGGTAAGGAAGATTGTAGCGCGTGTTTTTTTTTTAGAGCTGCATGAGAACTATCAATATCGATAACTATGGTTTGGCAGCTGAAAATGTTAAGCTGTGTTAACATTTCTGTTCAGTGAGATTTGGCACTTCATCATGAATCATTTAATTTTAAAAAAAATGGAATACGTTCGCGTATTCATAGAGCACTTCGTCCATTTTACGGATAACATAATCGGCCTTATTAGCAAGCAATATGTGCTGTTATTCATCGTTGTCGTGCTAATTTTACTCTTCTCGATTCAAAACCAATCCAAATTGACTGTTTGGTGCGGCGGCATCATCGGTCCTTATTTCTTTCGAATTGAGGAATGAGCTGCTGTTACGGTGAATGACGAACGTTATCGAGCAATTCTGACTGAATTATTGTTTCCAAAAATTAAACAGTTAAGCATCGACTGACAGTCTGGAATATTCCAATATACTTTAATATAAGTACTAATTGTATCAATTAGTTACTATATAATTGTGATAACGAATGTAAATTCGGTTGTTATTCCTAGTTGTGATGTATTTAGCAATGCATACACTTGGTTGCATGTCCATAAATATCCAGCCTAGCATCAATCATAAGTGAAGTTTTCTTATTGTGTTACTCTTCCTAGTGTTGATTATTTTATTAAATAATATTATTCAATAATCCTTCAAAGTACGCATCTGCTGAGTTAATGCAAATTAATATCTTGTTATCTAACTTCAAACCATATTCATTCACATTGAAGGAACACACGTCAGAAGCATAGACGCATAGACGCTCTGGTACGCATAGGTTACATCAAACTAGACGTTATCCTTTTTTGGCTCTAATGAATGTTATTTGAGTACCTCAAAAGTAGTAAACTCTTCTGCCTTAAAATTTTGTTCATAATTTTTTTATTTTCTTGTATCTGCTACTATTACGAGTACTACTGTCGATGCTGCCGATGTTGCCGATGTTGTGTATGTTATCGATACTACAATAGATGTTGCTGATGTATTACCGATGCTGCTGCAGAGTTACAAACCTAACAGTTACAAAAAGTAGTCTAGCATATCAAATTCGGATTAAGGAAGGAAGTTGCTCTCACTCATGCTGCTGCTGCTGCCTCTGCCTCTGCTGCTGGCGTTGCTTCCATGGGATATTGAATATTCGGCTCGGGTCAAAAACTTATATTAAACAACATTTATTCGGCATTTTTTACTTATAGTCATTAACATCACATCAACTTCAATGCATTCGATGATGGCTTAGCAAAATTTCCTATAATTTTTCTCCTCTCAATGTTTCATGCTCACAAATTCTGATGGGATACAGAGGTACGTGGGCTTTATGGTTGCATATTAAAATATTAACAAAAAAAAATCTTTCTGAACTGAACTGAAGTTTCTATCCATGAACAAAACAGCAGAGACGAGCTGAGTTGCACTTTATTACTTCGTTTTTGTTTGGTGAAGGCATAAAATTACAAATTTTCTAACTTTCAATTTTTAATGATATTATTCTACTTTTACGGCTTTAACAACACATAAGAACATTAAGGAAACTATTTCAGAAACTTTTTAAGCTGCGTAAACAATTTTTACTAAAGCTTGTATGATACGTTAAAGGAGAAAATTTAATTTAAGGAAGATAGTTTTGAAATTAAATTTAAAAATATCATATATTTTGGTTGGGTATACCTAAATTCGAATATTCCCATCACAATAAGTAACAATTAATCAATTATTTCTATATATCGCCTCTCATTAAATGGAGACAGTATCCTGTGTTGTTTAGCGTGAAGGCTCAAGACCATAGTGTTCTAAAAAAACACGTATCAAATTAATGCGCCGATAAACACTCAATTGAAAATTCTAGAAAATTTCCGCCGCCACCAATTAAAGTTATATATCTGGCATAGCTTCCACCTTGATAAAGAGCGAAGCCCTTTCAACCTCTGCTGATCTTTGGATCACCTAACTGCACGCTGAAAGAAAGTAAAATACAAACATTCTTCCCGCTTGAGTTTGGGTATAACCACAGCCATTATGACACTGCCACGCTCAAATGGTCAGGACAATCAAAGTTGCGTGTACTGACCCCCTTGATACCAGATTTACACTTTCGCTTGGGTGTTGCAAGTAAAACTCACCATTCAGAATAGCGCCGGGATTTTAGTCGTCTCGTATGACAGTCATGCTTCACCTCGGGAATATTCTAACCCCCAGAGGGAAAATAAATGCAGACAAAGTGAACTCGTTACCTTATTAGGGATCCCGTGATATGAAAACGACGAAGATAACAAAAAGTCTGACTACCTCACTAGCGAAAGGGACATAAATAAATAAAACTTAAAAATGGGGAGGAAACCTAATTTGAACACTACTAGATCAAATGTAAAGGTCAAAAAATGTCCAAAAGATTCATCAACTCTTACACTAAACAGATAGGTTAATAAAACTGTCTTTAGATTTTTAACAACTGTTTTTTAAAGACCAATATTTAGGTCCATGGGCATAAAAGACACAAGACAAAAGAGAGATAACAATTTTCTCTCATATTACAGGAATATGCTGAAAATACTATGAACGAATTGCTGGGTTGGTATGATTTTGATGGAGTTGATCAAATGGATATGATATCAAAAACATTCAAATTAGCTGCATGTCAATTAATGAGAGCTTAACAATTTTATACACTGAAAAGACAGCACATGGTAGTAAAACTCAGAAACTGAAAGAGATCCCAATAGTAAAAGCACTGAACAGACTATAAAAATTGAAAACAGGCTAAAGGATTTATTAATCCATCTAAGGTAGTCTAAAATAAATTCCAAGCACTAAGCAGAGAGGCTAATAGAAGTATGAGCGGCACTTTAGAGACTAGTATTTAAATACTGGAATAGATACAAGAGCAGCAAAATGATTGGTTAGCTCGCTAAATAGGAGCCGAATGTCAATCAATAAGAATTTACCAATTCTTTGCTCTGATGAGAGGATACATAATCACAAAACTCAATCACTGGAAAAAATTCCACTATAAAAACCACTAGAAGGAATGTGTCCAAAGCAACACCAAATAGAATCACAATCTCACAAGGTTTCTGGTTGAAGTACTATCTCACCATGCAGTCGTTAAAGAAAGCTGAAACAGAACATGAAGTGTGATTTGTGAATTGTGACACCGTCTTACATCGTTTAACTTACACCTCCATTTATTTATAATCATTAGGCCATGTTATTTTTTGAAGAAACCGGAGTAGTCTCTCAATTTGAATTCATAAAGAGTCTGTTTTTGCTAGTTCCACTTTCACAATCATCGACTACCAAGTCCAGGTTAGAGCATATGCTTAATTGTCTTTTGATCTTCACTACAGTAGCTATACTGATCTGAGTCACTGATGTCAAGTAAACACAGGTAGTATTTCCAACTTTAATAGCCTCTAATCTCTTCTTCTGTGTTTGATTATTATTAAAGTGCAACATAAATTCAGTTATTACTGATGTATTATCAATATAAAAAATGACAAATCAACCCTATTTTCATCCATAAAACGCAGAATTATTTGAAGTTCTAACAATAATAATTTACTATTACAAAACAGCTTTTTAGAAAATCTCCAACTATTTGTAAACCACTTAATAAATGATATCAAAACAATTCAATAGAGACATACTTTATGGAGAAAAGACTCGGTAATGATAGATAGTATTCAATAGAGACATATTTTATGGAGAAAAGACTTGGGAATGATAGATAGGATTTGAATTTTTTGCCTATACATCATATATAAATATTATGTTTAATATTATTTACCTATTTTCTCTTCCAAAATGGTGGATTTTCCCGCTGAATGTGGACTTTTTGAGTCATCATCTCTGGAACTACGCGTGTCATGATCTGATGTTGTACTCTCATTACCAAGTAACAGATTATTAGCACCTGTAGCACCACTCATTCTTAGCACAGCTTCGCGATTATTACCACGAAAATTATTGCAGTTTAATAGTGATTTTTTGTTGTTGTTGTTGTTGTTGTTGTTATTGGATATTTTTCTAGCATTTTCATTTTGTTGCTGTAATTGAAGCAACGCATTTGTGCGATTTCGACTACGTCTCTTTTCCATGTGATGTGATTGTTGTTGTTGATGATGTTGTTGCTGTTGTTGCTGTTGTTGTTGGCGATTAATATTACTATTTGCATTTGCGGATGCAGCAGCAGCTGCTGACTGCAACAATTTGGATGTTTTTGATGTCAAATCCATTCGATCAACTCCATCAAAACCATACCAACCCAGCAATTCGTTCATAGTATTTTCAGCATATTCCTGTAATTAGAGAGAAAATTGTTATTATTTAGTTATTTTAATTGATTTTGAAATATTAAAATTTATTTAAAAAAATTTGAAACACAATTAATGCTATTTGACCCAAGTAAGCGACTATGCCTTTCACATATAATCAATATTTGAAAATCGAAAGCCTTAAATGTTTAAAGTTACTAACTTAAAAATTGATTAAAAATTATAAATTGATCTATATTTATATTATTAGAAATCTATATTTGATTAAAAGCAATCAAAGTTCATGGGATTATTCTGGGTCGTCACCATTTTCTTCATTTGTAGTGAGCTAGCTAAGATGGTTAATCAGTTCTTAATTCTTATAGTAATTCTGTTTGGTGCGAGATTTCTATAGTATATTACATTATACTATCAATACATTTTATGCATATTCAAAGTGCCTGGATTTGCAAATAATCGTTATATAAAGTCTCAATCGATAAACTATTTTAGTTAGTGAGTTAGTATTCCAAAAAATTTTTCTTATTATGCTGATACCTAATATCTAGCTATTATTTACAGAATGAATGTTTTGTTATGATTTTTTAAAAAAATAATGATTATCAGATAATGTAAAATCTGGGTGAGAATATAACCATATAACCATATATGACATTTGTTTTGAATTCGTTAAACATTTTTTTTATACTTGTCACATCTATCCAAGCTACAAAGGTTCTATGTAAATAACATTTGTTTTTAATTATTTTTTATTGTCACATTTCCAGTGCCTTGAACCCTAAACAATACTCGTCTTAAATTTGTTATACGTTTTTCCAGGATATGACATCACATCAAGAGTTATAACATGGTGGTCAATCATCGCAGAACATTGGGCAATCGTTAAGGATATAAAAGACAATCTGTTTTGTATGTCGACTAGTCTAACTTCAAGCGTATTTTCGGCTCCATTTCATCAATACTACGTTGGTGCTTGCTATTGACTTACACCGCCTATTTAAATTACACCATACATTTTGTAACAAGATGAGATTGGGTGTAAGTACATCTGGTGAAATCTAGAAGTTAATCTCTCTAACTTGGACCAGTTGTCATGTCACTCTTTATTGATTTGAATTCCACAACCTTACCACCCACCCCCTTTCTACCTTAAACTATATAACCTTGAATTTTTTATGACATCATCCCTGTTTTCAGCCAGTCTCATGATTTATTTCTTTGACATATTTGGTTTCTATGTTATTATGTATATCACAATTGCTGCTTATCTAGTTATTTATTTTATTTATATTATAATAATATCCAATAATATTAATTTATCTTGAAGTTAAAGTTACCCAAAGGAATAATCATCAAATCATTATTAATAAATATAAAGTATCCATGTTAGTTTGAATTATAATTCTAAATAAAATTTGTTTATTTTACAATAATTTTCATATTTTTTTTTTCAACTAAAAAAAATTGTTATTGCAAATAACAAATCTTTTCTAAAATTAAATTTTATTTATTAAATTAATGGTCTTCAACACATCCATTAATTTGGTGCTGTTAAATAAATCTCATAATATCAACTTTAGTTTCACAATTTCATTAGAATTGCACTATAAACAGTTTTGTATTCTTATCTTTGTTTGTTATTTTAGCAATCTTCTAAATGTATCAAATATTGTACGTATCATCCGATCACTACACAGTAAATTTCCACTCCGAAACCACCGAAAATTTAAACCATCACTGAACAAACACACGCACACTTGTGCCACTCTTCCTTTTCAATCGACACTCAAAGCTACCAGTCGACACTGTTTAGCCTCCTCAATCGTTACTAAAATTCTTCATAATTGGAACTTCACAACTTGAAACTTTACTAATGTTGACTATTTAGAAATCGAATCGGTTTACTTCCTTGAACGCTGACTTAGTTCTTTTTTTATAAATAATTTGAGCACCAAAAACAAGACAATAATCGCCTTCGGACTGCGACCGAAGAACACAATAATCCACATAAATAAAACTAAAATTTTGAAGCTTTTTTTTTAAATTATCCAAACAATATGTTTTCTTTTTCTGATTTCTTTAAATTTAAATATATAAAAAAGGAACCAAGATGCGATATTTGATACTGTACGAAAACCAAAATTATACACTCGTAAACACAACAAAAATAAATTCAGCTTTAGCTTCAATCATCCGGAGAACTCCAAGCGTCCGAAATGCAATTGAAATCGGCGTAAGTTAATGCTCGCACATATCAACTCTCGTGACAATGTTTGCAGTGGTGTTTTTCCCACTGTACCTCTATAAACCTACCACTGCCATCGCCATCAGTATACGAACTAAGTGCACGGTACTGTGTATCTGGTGAGTAATAAAGCAAAGATAAGAACTTATTATGCATTATGTGAATGGTACGAGTATCAAATTTTGATGACACTTGATTGGATTGGCCGATTGAAGACATTTATTATGGGTACACTTGTATACTTTTATGTTGGCACAGACGTGCACTTGTTCCTGATGGACTGCTTTATCAAAAACGTGTAATATCACCACATTGCACCACATAATGCAACATAACACACCACACATCATACTGCCTGCCTTACCATACATTCTACCAAATACCTACTCACGCGTACCCACCTAGTGTCAGTGCCAGCACCACTGTCAGTGTCAAAGCGCACAAATGGAGCAAGGTACCGGTATCAAAAGAAATACCAAAAAGCAGATGCAATTTAATGTCAGTGAATTCAATACCTCAACTTGAAAATATTGCAACAACAATGATATCACATAACAATTAAGCAAGCTCATATGTTGCATTATTTGCATATTGTTGCACATGAGCGTCTGTCTGGTGATGACTGACTTTTAGTCTTTAGAATTGCAGATACTTTTGACTGCAGTTGCTAAAGATTTTGTTATATGAATTTAACTGGAATTCAATAATCATGTTTGTTTATAAATTTCATTGTGTTTGCAACTGAAACTTTAAAACGAAACTATTTCATGAATTTGGTTTAATGCAACACATGATATATATATTCAGTTATTATACCCTACACACACCCTATGCGAACATGAGCTCAGTTTTCGTAGGCATTTGTAACAAATAATATATAATAATTTTCACCGAATATGCATTTTATTTAATATAGTAACTGATATACATTCTGTTTTTATTTTATTTCTATCAAGATCTATACTCTACCTACACCCTCCACACATAACGTATAAAGTAATAATGGTGCATAAAGGTTTCTGAGATACGTATGAATAAAGAATACCTATGAATTTTCTTTTATATGGTAATTGATATATACATATACTGTTTTTATTTAGTTTTTATCAAGTTCTATTCTGCATTTATACCCTACACACATAATATATTAACTGATAATGGTGCATAAAGATCCCTAAGATGCTTGTAACACAGTGAAGGATACAAATGAATTTTATTTTAAAAAACATTTGATATATATAATCTCTTTTTATATGTTTTGAATCACAACAATTCTATTCCGATTTTATACCGTACACACATAACATATAATGTAGATATAGTTAATACAGTTTTCTAAGATACCTTCAAGACAGTGAGAAATACGATTAAATATTATTTTAAATAGTAATCGATATATATTCTGTTCTTATTTCTTTTTAATCAAGGCGGTTCTATTTTGTACTTAGGTATACTCTAATATATAAAGTACTAACATATAGAATATAAAGTAAAGTATATATATAAAATATAAAGTTAATGTAGTGCATAAAATTTTCTGATAAATGTAACAAAGTAATATATTTAGATATAGATTTAGTTTTTATTTCCTTTTCGTCAAGGACATCATAAGAATTCAAAAAAAGAAAGTACCATTTACCTAAGACATTTAACAAACCTTTTTTTGATTATACAGGAATTTTAATATAAATAAGTACCGAAAACGCCTATTTCCAATAAGAGTTACCTACTCACTTACTGTAGTCCTTTTCTCCCCGTGAAACATAGAGCCTCCTCGGAGACTGTTACATTGGCGTAATGAGAGGTCTTAATAATTGCGATGATATCTCCAGCGGTGTCGACAATAGTGTAGCTATTGTAAGGGCCATCTTTGTCTGTAAGATCTTGTAGGAGCAATAAAGCTAAGCGCAATCACCATTTTTCACCAGGCTAGATGCAGTTTGAACGGGCGTCTGTACTTGAATCAAACGACTCGCTATACAAATGAGCGAGTCAAATGATGTTTAGGCTTGAAAATGAACCCAAATGAATATATGACTCCATGGATAACCAGAAAAGACCTGCAAATACAACTGCTCAAGGAGCAGCCAGCACATTGGATATGGACGTGATAAATTCACACGAAACCATTTTCGAGATAAATAAAATCAAAAAAAGTTAACAACCCCAAACGGTTTACGGCTAAGACCAGTTATAAATCGCTTCGCAAAGATAAAGCACACATAGGTTTGACGAAATATTTGTAAGACTGTGAAAGACACATCGGAAACCTTATAAAGACTATATAGTAAATATAAATTAAACGAATTAAACGATCTAAAGATACCCTCTTACTCGCAGTACCAAAAAAAAAAGAATATTGTTAAAGACGTAAGAACAATAATGTGTTGTCATTATAATATCATTTTAATTTTTTTAGGGGTTTTAACCTTTTAATAATTTTTGTAACACAGTAAAAAAAAACAAGTATATGTATGTATAATACAATATATATTAATATTCTCACAATTGAAAAAATAATTCATTCGAATATTTTTAAGTAAAATTTGATTTCTGCACGTGAAACGTTAGAGATAAACCATGTTGCTAAAGATCCATATTGTCCAGCTGGAACTGGCAATCGTGATAAATTATCAGCTAAGGTTTTTGTATCAAGTTTTTCCAGGGTGAAATCATCCTAAAATAAGATCATAATATGATATTCTATTTCTATATATTGTAAGCCAACTTAAGTTTATGGGTACCCACATAAAATGGACAGGAATGGTTAATGTTTGTGTATTCCTTAAAAGAGTCAAAGATGAATTTCGTTACTGGATTGTTGTTCGATTTCACAAAGGTACAACCATCGAATGTTATATTGTATAGAAATGGTTTATAGCCATTTTCTCTTTTTAAAAAAGCATAACGAATCTGTGTTTTTAATATTAATGATATCAATCTGGATCACTAAACTATAATAAATGTATAACACTGAACGTACCTTTAAATTTGTGACTGGTTTTAAGAGTTTCGCTTTTATCGATAAATACTTGTAAGAACGATTCACCGATTTCAAGTAGCAATAATCGAAATTGACATAATCTTTATCGAGGCTATTACATACAATATTAGTAAATTCAATATAAGAAAAAACCTATTAAAGAAAGGTTTTAACTTTTTTTTTATAATTTTAAAAGTTTTTACCTTAACAAAACACAACAAAAAAAATATCACTCTTTTTAGTGAAAATCCTACTAAATACATTTTTGAAAAGATATATCCGCTAGCGAATATTACTGAAGATCACTGCTATATCAACTAAGCTAAGTCTTAATTAAACGTAATCATTTTATTCTTTTCGTGATTTATTTAATATAAATTTTTTTTCGATTATTTGCAATTAATAAAAGTGTAAGCTTTATTAGACAAACTAATTGTGAAAAACGATATCTAAACTGCAATCAATATTGTTCATTCGTCAGATACAATTATTATGACTATGAAAATAAATCTGAAGTTTTGCTGCCAAATTCAGACTTCCTATGTCAATTTAAAATATTTTAATGGTTTGTATTATTTTTATATTATCTAAACCATTAGATTATAATTACTTATAATAATGTATGCATTATTTTACATATACGATATCCGTCTAATTACTCAACAATCAAGCGAATATAAAATGCATAGGGAATACATATATATATATATACATTAATTTCCCAATGACATAATACCTTCATAAATTATATTATGAAAAATTTTTCTAAAGATATATAAGAGATATGATAAAAAATCGTTGATATTATCCTTTTATTATTCTCCTATCTATTATCTAAGCACCACAAACTGAAATAAAAATGAGAAATTGGATAGATCATACGCTTAGACAACCGAGAAATTAAATCCAGAGCCAATATTTGATATGGAATCCACAAGGTAACAGAAGACCTGAAGAACGATAATCATGCAACGACATCTATATAGAGAAGCACCAAATAAATTCAAATTTTAAAGAATTACTGAGGCCCTTTGCCCCACTGGGAGAAATGGACAATAGTAGTTATATTATCTAAATAAATCTGAAGAACTGATTAATTTGGATCGATAGGTTTTCTTCAACGTCTTGACATTTGTAACAAAGCACTAGTTGTATACCGACTAGTGTTGTTAGTATCCGGTTTTACAATGTATTCCGAAAATCCGATTAATCGAATAGTAAATGAAGTCTTCGAAGTTGAAAATAAAATCGGATTTTTAGTAAATCCGATGTTTTCGAATATCTGGATTTATGGTTTTTATTCGCAGTGAAATTATTCAAAGACTTCGTGATCAAAAGTTAAAGTAAGAGCACAAAATGCAAACAGACGTGCATCACAGAAGTTGTAGGGATGATAGAATTTGCTTTGTTTGTATGATTTATTCAATATCTACCCCTTTCTCTTTATTTCCTCATTGAAGAGTTCCAAAAGCAACACATAATTTTGATCTATCATTATTTTTTTTCACAAGATTGTCTATGACATATGGATTTTAAGGAACAAGAGTCAAATGCTATTCTTCTAAAGGAACTATTTTTGGGTTTTTTCAGACATGTTCATCAGTAGAAATACACTCTTTCACACTTTTCCCATTTTCGGCATATATTGGTGTATATTACGTTGAAATTTTCACAAACACTGATTGGAAGTGATAAATTCATTGTAAGTAAACACGACGTAATTATACTAGACAAAATCATACTTCAATATATACTTCTATAGGAGAGCAACTCTCACCATTGGTACTGAGACCTAAGTTTAATTTCTCCGAAAGGCAAAAGTTTCATATACGAAAAGTTAGACTAAAGTTAGTTTTTGCAATTAATTAAAACGTGTTTGAGAAAAATAAATTAAAATCTTATAAGAAAATAATTTACACATAACTTATATATTGCTAGATCATAAAAAATAGTATTTCAAAACTATTTTAGAAGCTACATATTCATCACAGTTATCACTGACTTATCAAACAATCTCCTTATATATATATGTGGAGATTACAGCTTACTCTATATATATTGTACATATATATAGAGTAAGTACGTTACAAATAGCTTGACAAACTAATTATACCACTACACCACAATAGTGCGAAGGGTAAAAAATCCTAAGCCGATAAAGCAAGAATGGATAAGTTATATCTACCTTGAAATATGATACCAAAGATGTGTTTCTTAATTAGTCATACCCATCCATCTTGGTTATCTAGAGACGACATCAGTAATGACTTTTTCGTGTTTTTGTTTTGTTTTTGTTTTTGTTTTTGCAATTTTCTAAACAATTCGATTCTTCAAAATGATAAAGCATGCGTAACTTACAAAAAAAAAAAAAAAACAAAAACAGAAAGCAACTACACACCATTTTAAAGACTGCCGTCACCTTAGAAAATTAAATCGATGATATCGATTACAGATTTGTTACGACCTCGTCATTTGCATTAATTTTTATTGATGTTTTTTGCTTTTTTGCGCTCAAACTCTTGCATTTTACAGTCACTTAGTTTTCAGTTCAAATTTGAATTCGAGCTCGAGCCCAAGCCCGAGCCCGAGCTGGAGTCTAGAGGAACCTTCAAAAAATTCTGAACACGGGTATTTTCGCATTGGTTGGTTCGACATTGATAGGCTCACTGGCTCAGTTTCGTATCGTTTACGTCGCGCGTTTGATACTCTGCTTGCCTCTGTGTTTGTTTTTCTCAGGTAATCATGTTTCAGCAACATTTAAACTCATTTCAGAATTCCCATTCATTACATTTTATACTTTATTTTTCTGTTTAATTTATGTTCAGGCATTTAATTACTGATTTTTTGATGCTTTGCTAAAGTTAACACCGAATGAGATACGAGAATAAAATCGTAAAAAGAGACAAAACAGAATTTATTTATAATTAAAAAATATCAAGTAAATTATTTGATATGTTATACCTAAGAGCAGAAAAGTTGAAAGAAAATTTCGAAAAAGTATCAATTTTAGGCTACCTACTCAGACTCATCGAACACGAGATATCCTCACCCTTCCACAACGTATTTCGACAAGTACTTAAGGAGCTGAATTGATTGATTGTATTAAGTTTATTTTTGAATTTAAAAATAAGATTGACTTTTTATTCTATTTAATTAATAAACTAAATATAGTATGTATAAGTACGTATATATATCTTATGTATTTATAAATAATGCAACAATCAGCATTGACAATTTTTTTCTTTAAAAAAATCGTCTTGCTTTCACATATAACTAGCACAGTCAAATCTCGATATACACACAGATGAAGGAGGTGATGAAGGTTCAGACCTCCATTACCCATAGAGTATAACGAGTTACTCCAACATTTTGAACATTAGCCAACCAGCGCTGTTACCTCTTCATCTATTTGATTTGATTCACTTATACTTAACTTAAAACTATTAAATTATTGACTTGAAACCTACAGCATACAAGGTGAGGTGAAACTCCACAAATAACATGAAAAATAACTGCTTTTACTGCGTCCTATGGATAAGGGGTTCGAATATTCCCGAGATAAAGCATGCCTGTTGTAAGAGGCGACCGATTTTCCAGCCACTATTCCGACACTATGTAGAGTGTGATTAATAGCAAGTGAATGTCCACGGAGGATAGCTCCGAGTGTACTGATCCACTGAGGTTAGCAGTGTCGTGGTAGCTGTGGTTAAGATCTAAACTTAAGCGAAAAGAATGATTGTATTTTACTTTCATTCGGAGCAGAGTTGCGTACTCACATCAGGTGCTGTGACCCAAAAAGCAGCAGAGGTAGGATGAGCCTCGCTTCCAGCCAAGTAAGAAGTTATGCCAAACACATAATTTCAATTGGTGACGGCGGAAATTCCTTGAAATTTCGAAAGAAATTATCTTGATATCTTGATACGTGTGTTTTTAAAGCACCGCTGTCTCAAGCTTTCCACGCTAAACAACACTATATTAACTGATCTTACTAAAACTTACAAATCGATTAATAATTAACAAAACACAATTCATTGCACGTATTAAATTAAATTGGAAACGTTTTAGCGAAACTTTAACTTCTAATCTTTTGCGAAACGAATATAGTATTGAGATCTATAGAGATCTCATTATCTTGTTCCACTGGCGGCCTGAATCCTTCTACTCTAATGTGCATGATTAAATATTTTATGTGATTGATAACTTTTATATGATAACTATTTTCTGTGTTAGTTGATAACATAATCTCTACCAACATATTTATGTATATATATATATGCCTTTTATTAAATTAGCCTTAACTGGCGGAAATTATTTTATTTTATGAATAATTATAATTAATTTCATTCAGTAACTGTTTTTCTTAATAATATATTTTCTATAGTACACAGAAAAATATGAAATCGATATGCCTTGACAAACTTAAGAAGATAACAGAGAAAAGCCGGTCTTAGCATGACACATACATATATTTATTATATATATATTACATATATGTTTATATAAATATATGTATATAAATAACTTATAGTAATTGGTTTTGAATTTCAGAAGTCATAAATATTAATGAATTGTTTCTGATACATGTAATATCATCTGTTACACAAAGTCAATTTATTTTAAATTTTAAAAGAGATGCTTTAGATTTACAGTACAAAGAGAATAGTACTTTAAATACAACAACTGCTGGTTTAGAGTTAAGTTTTAATTTTCTGAGAGCTTACTACACATATTACAAAATATTTCTATGTATTCTTATTACTGGCTTGTTCACAGTATCTATTACAGTTGTTTAACGTAGTTACCTGCCATGTGAAGGCTTAACACCATTGTGTTCTCCAAGCATGTATCAAATAATACGTCAATAATTGCCTCTTTGGAAAAAAATTCTGCAGTAGCATTTAAATTTATATATTTGGATATAACTTTTTCTATATATAAGGTCTATAAAAACCTTTATTGTTCTTTGGGTCAGAGCACAAGTTTGAAAAATGACACTCCATTGACACTCCAATGACACTCTAATTGTGTACCTTTGAAGTGTAAACCAGTGTCACCATTACACTCTCAATGTCCAGAACAACCTAAGTTAGCGCCACCTATATTCTTTAGTATCAGATTTCTTCCTTGATGAGGTTTGGCAAACGAAAACACACTTTTCAGATTTTGTACTTCAATTGTACAATAGATGTAAGTCGCTCTATAACTACAATAGGATTTAAGCGAAAATATTATAACTCCTATTTTGTAGGAGTTCAAAAGAAAG